TGATATATTCTCATAGAAAGGTTAATGAATTAGATGTCAAATGATGAGAGTAACATAATAGGGAAATAATGAGTTAGAAGACTAGACTTACAAAAGGGATTTGATGCCAAAAGTAATGGTTATTGAATTAAATGTGATTTGCTGTGGCCAGGCATGATTTGTAAACAATGCTCTGTTATAAGGAGAAAACACTGTGACAAATGCTCGAAGTTAAATAAAAAAGGTCACTTGAAATGGGTGTGTGGCAGCTCATTTAATATTTCATTGAACTTTTATGAAAAATTATGATTTTGTTTAATACACAATATTCATCATTTGGTGTTTTGATTTATCCTTTGATCTGATATATGAAGATATTCAATACTGTTTGAGAATTTATTTTCAAAGAAACTAAAGCTAAAAAAATTAGGAATTTAGTTTCCCAAAGATGGTTATTGGAGCGTTGTATGAAAGAATTTTATGTATTATGTTTTCAGCACAAATGAAATGATATTTCAGTAAACAGGGACAGGGTGAAAATGAGATCATTTCCTTGCTCGAAAGAATGAAAGGCTGGCTTTGTGTTAGTCATGAATGGCCTCCGGGAGCCATGGGTACAGTATTCCCTTGGTTAATCGCCCAGCCCTTACCACTTATGAGAACCCTGAGGGGTAGACAGTTTCTTCTCCCTATTTATTTCAAGCACACCATGGCCAATAATGAACATTTATTTTCACCCTTATCGGGGGCATTAAAGTTTCTCGACCCCTGCCTCTCCTTTGACCACGGCTCCGACCACTGTTACTAATACCCCCTCCTCGATGTTTTCTATCAACACAATCCATTCCGAATCATCCACCGAGGTCATTACTCAACCTTCAGAATACACCCCATTATCTCCCCGAACATCCTCCAGTCCACCTCCTACTGCACAGTCTACCCCCACCCCCTTATTACTACTCTTCATCCTTACTGTCCTCCTCCCAACAGTGCCATCCCATCTTCCTCCCGCCCTCGTCCTTCTACTGCTTGCACCTCTGCAAACTTTGCCCAGCCAAGAGAGATCGATTCTTTGTGATTTCCCCAACAGCTCCGTACACTAACAATATCCTTCTCTTCCAACAATGTCTTCAAAAACAAGGAGACAAAATTTCCTTTCGCAGTCATTCCGATCGTTCATGCCTTGTCACTGTTACATCTGAATTCCAAGCTCGTGAATTACTACCCAGACCTCACTGGCAAATCTATTCCTGCTCAACCTCACTTCCCCCATAATACTTGTACCGAAACTGTATAAGTATTATCCTCTCTATGACAAAGACTGGTCAGACTATAAAAATGTCCTACTTGCCTGCCTCGTCGACCATGATTCAGTGGCAGTCCAGTGCTACACTATTCCTCCTAGAGGCCGACGTAAGTCCTACACCAATATTGCTAAGATTAGCTTACGAAGACATGACCTCCCCCATGAAGTTTATATTGGTGGTGTCCTGCCCTGTCCATATCGACCCCTTCCCCGTCAATGTCAGAAATGTTGGCGTTTTGGCCATCAAGCCCCTCCCCTCCCCAATCCCTTGCTCGTTGTTGTTGTGGACACGGGGCCCAAAGCCCAATGTAGAATAACCTCTGTCTTGGACTCAAGCCCTTGCCTCAAATAATTTTGCATGGTATTTTCTCCAACTTTCCTTTTCCTTCTCTTCTTTACCTCCTGTCCACTTATCCTAATCGTCATTTTTACCGTTTTACCACAATAGTTTATCATTGCTATATGGACTTGCTTTCTAGCACATTAATTTGTTTTAACCATTTATCAATTGGCCACCCTGCCAAATACTGTCGCTCCACAGCTCGCTGCATTCTGTGTGCCCAACAAGGTCATGGCCGTTCAAATTACTCTGCTCAGTCTCACACGTGTGTTAATTGTGGTGGATCCCATAATGTGCTTCTTAAGAGTTGCCTTGCCTACAAGCTCGAATCTGAGATAGCAGTTCTCAGATTCAGCCTAGGCCTCACTCTACGTGAGGCATGACAGGAAGCACGTCGACGAGGTTTTTCTCTCTACCGACTCCAAAACTGTCCTTCGCTCCGCTCCCCTCCCATCTTCTCAATAAGTCTCAGCATCTCCCCTAGTATCTCTTCCCTTTACCCCGGGCCATCCTACCTCTATTCCCTCTCTCCCACAGTCAAATTCCCTTTCCTGTATAAGTCCAGGTACTCCAATCTTCTCCGATGCCTACCCCTCCTCCTCCTCACTAAATGTTCCACCCCATCTTCTACCACATCCTCTTCTACACCCACCTCTTCCTCTGCCCCTCGGACAACAATTCCCTCTTATCGTCCTCACAAGAAAACCTTTGTTTCTCAGACCTCCAACCCAACTCCCCTCCAGAAACTCTTGAAGACATCCAATACTTATTAAACATGACCCACAGAATGCTCTGCTCCCTCATCCATCCTCCAATACCTCTATTCCTATTCCCTCTACATTCAAAGTATTTGCTGATATCCATCCTCCTTCTCGAGTTCCCCCTACTCCTCTTCCTCCTACTCTCTCCCAACATACCTCATCCTCTCCTTCCCACGTACACTATCCCCCTTTTCTCCCATTATCCTTATTGCTTCCACCTGGATTCTCGCTTGACTTTCTTTTGTCGAAATAGTATCCTTCTCCGGATCTTTCTCCTCCTGACATTCTTCCTGATACTTCACCACTTTCCCCTGTTCCCTTATCTCATTCACGGATTCCTCTACTTCTCCACCACACATCTCTACTCGTAGTACCCGTTGTATGCTTCATGGTGGCTCTTTTATCGTTTTCCTTATATATGTTCATTTTCTTTACTCAGACACAGATACTCTCCATTTCATCCAACAATCCTACTCTCTTAACCCATTCCTCGTTTACTAATCCCCGCATCACTCCATTGCTCCCCACTCTTTACCCTTCTCACGACCTTACCATCCTATAATGCTCTATAACCTTTAACATCTAACACATTTTATCCTGATTGTTAACTCATTTCTACCTTTACGCCACAATACTTTACTTTATCATAATGCTATATGACCTCTGATGTCTAGCACATTTATTTGTTTTAATCATTAACTATTGTCGACCGAGTTCATGGCGCCTACTACCAGCCCAGTCCGGCTACTGACTTCCTGGTCTGACAGCCCACTGTCATGAATTGCACAACCAAAATATGTAAAGCTACCCGCAACTTTAATGTCCTTCCACAAGTACATACCGACTGATTGGATTCTCCTAGGAGGCTCCCCTAATCCTGGATCTTGGTCTTGCTTCAAGAGACTACCAGACCCAAGGACTTCGCCTCATTGTTAAATGCATCAAGATCCACTAGATTGCAGGGACTCAGGATTGCAACATCGCCAGC